GAGGCAGGCGGCGGAACCACCGAGCAAAATCCCCAGCTCCAGGTCAGGTTTTTATTGGGAGAAATTCAGGTAATTTGAAAAACCTTACAGATGAACCACATAGTTTAGAAATACTACAACACAAAAACAAAACCACAAAATTCTATTTGCTAAATAGGGAGATTTCTGGATAACCACTAAAATTATTATTTAGAAGAGTATGCATTTAACTGTTAGATATATTCACAATTATCAACTTGTTATATCATTTCCAAGAACTCGTACTCTACAGGCTAGTAAGTTTTCTTCCCCGCAAAACGACAAGCACCAATTACAAAATTTCCTGTACATATTCATTATATAGTTTAAACATTTCTTTAAAACAGAGATACCATACCTTAAATTGCCAAGTTCTCCTTCTTGATGTAGTTTCTCATGTTCTAACTGTGATTTCACTTCTCTTGTTTCTGTTAGTTCCTTCTATAGTGTTCTAACCTTATTTTCCAGTTTTTTAGTTTTCCCTATAAGCAGTTCATCATGATCTTTTTTAAGGTCTACTGATGTTTTATATGAATGTAACGCATCCCATATTTTTAATACACTAACAGAATCTGTATCAGGGAGAAAAGATGGAAATGAGTACTTTTTGTGTATTAAGATTACACTTTCAATTCAATCATTCATACACCGAGTAAGTGTGTATATAGTGTGTGAGCTCATTTTGATGAGTTCTTCAGATAGGGTAGACTTCTACTCTTTTTTTTTTTGGTACTGGGGATCAAACTCGGGTCCTTGTGCTTGTGAGGCAGGTGGCGGAACCACTGAGCTAAATCCCTGGCCCCTTCTACTCTTGTTTATCTTAAAATCTAGTGGAGAAGATAGTCATGAAAGGTATTTTTAAAAATCCAAATTGCATTTGTAGCAATGGAAATGGACAGCAATCAAATGGCAGGAAGAACAACCCTACAGCTGACCCTTGAACAACACAGATTTGAACTGTACAGGTCAGGTTTTTATTGGGAGATATTCAGATAATTTGAAAAACCTTACAGATGAACCACACAGTTTAGAAATATTAAAAAAAAAGAAAAAGAATGTCACAAATGCATGCAATATATGTAGATAATAGAATAGATACAGATCCATTATAAAAAGTTAAAATCTGCCAACATTTATGCACACAGACTTTAATCTGAAGTCAAGAGAAATACAAACACAAAAATGTAGGTCCGTATCACCTGTTACCTCAGAGACACCTCCTGTTGCTACTGTGGTGAGCTCACGTGTTAGAGCATCCACTTACAAGGCCACAGAAGGTTAATCATCTCCATGTGAGCAGCTTATCTCTCCAGTAAAGTGTCACAGTAAAAAGGGATTTCTTACAGTTCTCATGCATTTTTCACCATATGTAATATTTAACATGTAAAAATTTATGTTTATCAACTGTTTGTTATTGGTAAGGGTTCTGCTTAACAGCAGGCATCAGTAGTTAAGTTTTAGGAGAGTCAAAATATACATACAGATTTTGACTGCATAGGGGTTGGCACTTCATGTTAAATGAAAATGGCCTAAAAACTTCAATTAAAAGGCAAATCGTTGAGCCAGGGATTTAGCTCAGAGGCACCGCGCCGGCCTTGTAAGTGCAAGGTACTGAGTTTGAGCCCTGGTACCCCCCCACAACCACCACCACCAAAAAAAAAAAGACAAAAAAAAAGGGCAAGTTGTCAGAATGCATGAAAAGTATGAGGCTTTTGAGAAATATATTTTAAAGACACAAATTGGTTAAAAAGATGGAAAAATACCACCCTAACACTTGACAAAAGAAGGCTGACAGAAGTGGCTATATTAATACCAAAGTAGACCTCTCACAATAAAATTCTATCATCTACAACAAACTAGGTCATTTCATAATGATAAAAGGTTTAATTATTGAAGAACATACATAATCCTGAACATTTATGGACCCAATAACAGCTTCAAAAACACTTGAGGCCAAAACTGATAGAATTGCACGAAGAAATAGACAAATACACAAGTATGATCTGAGATTTCAATACCCCTTATTCAATAAATTATAGGATAAGTAGCAGAAAATCAGAATAGAGTAGACGTGAACATCACCATTCTTAAGAAAACAGAACATATTCTAAGATCATATTAGTAAAAGGATTAAGTCAAAATGATTTAATCTGTGCAAAACATGTTCCCTGATCACAAAACAATCAAATAAGAGATCAATAACAAAAATATGTCTGGAAAATAATCATCTACCTAAGTAACACATGGAAACTAAGTAACACATAACTAAGTAACTGGGTCAAAGAGGTAACAGAAATTAGAAAAAGGAAATGGAACCAGGGATGTAGCTCAGTGTTAGGGCCTTGGATTCTAAGGAAGAAGAGACAGAAAAAGAAATGAGATGAGAAAGAAAGCAAAATTAGAAGGAAAGGGAATAATAAGAGAAGGAAGAAAAGAGAAAAAGCTAATTAAAGGTATCTTGAAAAAATATATAAAATTAGAAAATAATGACATAGGTCATAATAGAAATGAAAAGAAAAACAAAAAAGACTGGATTTTTCCTCAAGGGTTTGTTTTCATTTTTGTTTTTTTGTTTCAGAAAGATAGGATGCTGGAGAGGAAAGCAAGCTTTTCAGTGCTTTTAAGGAAGTCTCAGGATATTCCACCTTGATGTTAAAGCAGACTGTATGGAAATTGAAACTTGTCTCAAACATACTTTTCAGGCTACCAACAGTTGTTATCTCCAGCATGATCTCTGATCATCCTCTAGAATGAGCAAAGTTGATTCACCTAGCTGATTCACAAGTGGATTACAGATCCATTTCCTTCCAAGTCTGGGGCTCTTTCATTGGTTGAGGCATAACGCTCAAACTTTTGAAAGCTGAGATAGGTGATAATGCTTCAGCTGGGACCAAGAAGGCCCTGGCTCAGTCTCTTTTGGAATCTGTGTTAATGTTTGAAACATGTCAAAAACCCAATGTTCACTTATTGCCTCCATAATTCCAGTTTGGCTTTGAATGCAGACACTTTATTTGCCAACTTGAACACACACAGTTGTTCTCTTATTATAACTATTAATTAGCACATGTTTGCAGTATACAATGTAACATTCATCTTAAGGATGTACTTAACATATCTTAATTATTTCCTTTTAAAAATACACTTTAGTATAAATTTTACTTTCACTAATGCTTATTTTAAAAATCTATTCTGTATTACTATTTCTCTTTGTCTTGTTTGGTTAATGGAATTACTTTCAGTTGTCAGTTACTGGTAGTTATTCTCTCTTTTAAACCTGTGCTGAGCATTGAATGCAGCAGGTTGAACATGTTGGTGGGTTCTCTGACACTGTGGTGTTGGTTAGCAACCAAAGTATACAAAACATATTCTCATGCACATCCTGAGAAATATATCACACAAAAATAAGCCTTGTTGCCTTGTTATCAACATCAGTAGACTCATCAGCCTGGATTTTGTACCATGGTGACTCATTAATCCTCTCTAATACAACTGTGCCTCAATATCCTCAGTTCCATCATTTTGTCTAGTTATGGTACTAGCTGAAAGAGGAACATATGTTACCTTCTGAACTGCACTGTCTCCTAAAACTTTATAATAACCATCCTTAGCAGCAGGCAGGATCAACTCTCAATAGCAAAAGTGCTTCTTTGCTGAACAATGTGGTTAATCACTAAGAGTGATGCTCTCAGGATAGACACATTTGATGAAGTGGTGGTCTTCAATTATTGCTTCTGTTCTTCACGTTCAGTTTTTTTCTTGTGAAAAACTCCAAAGGCTTATCTTTTAATGCAGGGTGCTTGGTCTCCATATGGTGAAGCAGTTTTGAAGGTTTCATGGCTTCACTAGATAGCTGGTCATCACACACTCTATACAGGAGAATGTGAGTCAACTGTTGCCATCAATCCATACTTAAGTGAGAATCTTAGTATTTTCTTTTAAATGCAGCTTTCTGTTTGTTAGCAGTCTTTTCGTTTTCTTCTGTCTCATCATTGGTTATTCTCCCCTTTTCAATGCAGCTCCCCAGTGGCATTGGTTTTTTACTCATTTTACCTCAGGTTAGCTTCTGGGCTTACTAAACCTGCAACTGAGGCTGTGGAGTGCAGGAAAGATGAGTGGATGGAAGTGATAAATAAAATAATGAGTGAGCCAACATGGACTAAAGTAAGTGTTGGATTTTGGCTTAAAGCATGCCAACAGATGCAGGTGTACAACTAGAGTATATCAACCCACATATCACTACAAAGTCTGCCAACAGATGTAGTTTATTTGTCACTTGCCACTCACTGATATAATTCTGCAAGCAAGTGATTATGGTCTCTGTGCAGTCAAACTTCTCTAATATTAAACTGTATTTGCAATTGCTTCCCAGTGCTACCATCACTGCCTCAACTCCACCCCATATCATTAGGCATTAGAGTCCCATACAGCCTGATCCCTTGCACTTTATAGTTAACAGTAGGGTTCACACTCCTGTGAGAAGCTAATGCCACTGCTGATCTGACAGGAGGTGGATGGAGGTCAGGGGATGGTGAGCAGCTATAAATACAGATGAAGCTTTGTGTTGACCTGCTGCTCACCGTCTGTGAGGCCCTGTTCCTAATAAGTTATAAAACAGTACTGGTCTCTGGCCTGTGGCTTGGGGACTCATGATCTAGAAGACCCTCAAGACTCTACCAGAAGACTTTTAGATCTAATAAATTCAGCAAAGTAGGCAAGAGACAAATAAAGGTAGGAAAGTCAATAGTTTTTTCTGTGCTAATAATGAAGCTGTTGAGAAAGAAATAAGAAAACAATTCCATTCATAATACTTATGAAAAAGAAATACCTAGGAATAACTGTAACCAACAAGGACCTTGAAAGACCTCTACAACGAAATTTACAGGACACAGAAGAAAGAAATTGAAGAAGGCAGTAGAAATGGAATGCCCTTTCATGAGCCTGGGTTGGCAGAATTAATATATTTTAAATGGTCATATTACCAAAAGCAATCTATAAATTCAATGCTATACTCATTAAAATACCAATGACAGTTGATGGGGACTTGGGCTGTTTCCAAGCTTTAGCTATTACAAACTGTGCCTCAACAAACATGGGTACACATATATCGCTGTGGTATGATTCTTTTAATTCTTTTGGGAAAATACCCAGCAGGGGAATAGCTGGATAAAGATGTGTTTTTTTAATAAAATGGAGTACTACTTAGCCATAAAGAATAAGAAACTAGAGTCATTTATAGCTAAATGAGTGCACATTGAGGTCATACTCTTAAGTGAAATAAATAAGACACACATGTGTAAATACTGAATAGTTTCTCTAGTGCGAGAAACTGAGAGTGTAAATAAGAATTAAAAGGATTAGTAACTAATAATTGATACTCTGAAATAGGAAAAGGACCAAAGGGGTAGGGGTGGTGAGAGGAGATGGGGAAAGGAAAGAATGGAAAGGAACAATTACGAGAAAGAAAAAAAATGGAAACAAAGTATGTAAATAGGGAAGGGTGGAGGGGTGAAGGGTGCACAGGTAATGGGGAAAAAATAAGAACTAAGATACATCATGTACAGCTGGAAGCACCCAATGATAAATGTAAATGTACTGCATACGTAAAATGTACCAATAAAAGAATTT